GTTTCGTGTTGCTGGTTGTTTCTTCTTTACTGGAGACTAAAAACAGCACAAACTGACCTGTGCATTTCCTGCACGTTCGGCGGCTCCAATCGTGCCAAAAAAAGTCGAGGAAAGCTCGGTTAGCAATATAGCGGAGCGTCGGGGGGGCTTCAATTTCTTTAAGTACAGTTCAAGAACATGTGTGGCCATAAATGTTCGTAGGGTGTGGAGAACAAGTGCCTGCGGCGCTGCAAAACCATGGAAAAGCAGCGGCGTGGAAAACTTCTGTCGCGTACGTGCAGAAACAATCGAAACTCTTGCTATTTTTCGCCCGGTGACTAAAATTTTGCCGACAAAACGGCCCCCGTTTTGGGGTCCAGAAATGGACCCCAAAATGGAGGCCACTCATTCAGTCTCAATTTGATTTACTTGTGTCCGGACGACTTGGCCTCCGTTTTTGGAGTCCGTTTCTGGACCCCAAAACGGGGGCCGTTTGTCGGCAAAATTTTGCCGCCGGTCGAAAAATAGTGCAAGTTTCGATTGTTTCCGCAGGTACGCGACAGAAGTGTCGCATACCGCTGTGCGCCGCGAGCAATTGTTCTCCACGCCCTGCGAACGTTTATGCCCACACATGTTCTTGAACTGGGGAGGCCCACTTTGGCGACTCTGGAATCCACTGCATTTTTGGCGCTTGGTTTTGGGGCCGTCAATGGACAAGATTTTCGCACGCGTCGTGATCCGCTTGGCCGCTGGTCTCTGGAAGCCCAGTGTCTCTGACGCAGGGCCGCGCAGGACCAGCTGGAGTGGAAACTGCAGGGAGAGAGCACGGGTCCTGCAATCACGCTGTGGGAGAATAGAATTTGTTCATAGAACAAAACAAGTTTGCAGGACCACTTCGCCGACTTGCTTTTGGATATTAGTGCACTCCAGTCCGACCTGCTTGTGGTGGAAGCGAGGGCCCGTAGGCAATTTTTTGGGGCAAGTGCCACAAAGAAGTGGACAATCATCGATTGGAAAGTTAACGTGTCAAAACCTGCGCCAACACACGGTGAACACCAATCTCCGGCCCAATGGCCACACACGCGCATATTCACCGGGCAAACAAAACTTGTTCTCCAACCGAGGTCCTCTACCCAAACCTACAACCAAGAACCAAACAACATCCAACAGACTTACGCAAAGCCAACCTTTTCACGTTCACCTAAACCAACAAACGACAAGCAACCGACCAACCAAAAAGAATGGTTGAGCGCGAAGTACACTTGGAATGCCTTGGCGCAAGTGTGGAGCGCCCCGTTTGAAGAAGCGCAGGGACTACAATGTTAAGGTTGCGTTTCGTGGCTTTCCGTTGGTCTTTGTGTTTTTCTTGGAAGTTCCTCACTCCGATCCAATTAAAACTTTGTAAAACCCAAACGAGGTGTCGGTACCGCGCATTGTAATAGAGGGCCCGAGCGGTACCGAAGCCGTACCGAGGCGGTACCGCGCATTGTAATAGAGGGCCCGAGCGGTACC